CGACGCCCAAGACCGGTTCAGATAATCGTAACTGGTGTTGGCCGTGAGCTGGAATTGAACTCGGGGTCGGCAGATTTGTTGCGCAGCGTACTAACCGCTACACTACCGCTCCCCACACACATGCGGTCACCACCTACTTTAGGGAGTTACTTGTGGCCATTCATTGAATGGAGTAGTCGGGAGGGTGGCAAGGTAAGGGCTAACTCTGCATTCACCTGATCTTGTCGTCACGTGGACTCAGGCATCTGCAAAGCATGGCAATGAACAACGGCTAAAGAACTGGCTTAGAGGACTCATGATCAAGACTGGTTTTGAGGTGGTTGGATGGCTTGTGAGTCAGATCACTAAACTGATACTGCTGTGTGCCTGGGTTCAATTACAGGTCCCTGCGTCCGAATCCAGGTTCTATTTGCCCGTGTTTTCACTGCTTTTTGTGTTTAGTTTGTTGTCCTTCACCCGCACCGCCGATGAGCACGGTTGGCTACGTACGGTGCGAAAGAAGTTCAAAATGATACATAAATCAAGTTTTCACTGAGTAGCCAGTTGTATCAACAAAACAAACCCATCAAATACAATTCGGTTATTCCCTTAATGTGGTGTACTGCAGCTCTGTGAATTCAAGATCTTGGTTTGATTGAGATACGACGAACAGTCTTTGCAGCGCATGTCAAACATGCGTCCTTAGTTGTGAGTGTACGTCAATGAAGCGACATCAGGAGAAGGTCTGCGACATGACCTTCCATGGGTTTTTCACCGACACTCCGGTTGAAGTTTCTTCATCTCACGATGAAGCCTCTCGAGATGCCCTCTCTCGGGGCTCTCTAGTGAGCATGAAGGAGGCCTGCTCCTCCACGCTGGCTAGACGTGCAGTTCCTTCCGCCAGCGCTCGTTACGGCGCCATGGAGGAGGGAGGTTAACTACCTCGCCCCGAATGCAGGAGGTCGTGGGTTCGATCCCGAACCTGACGCCTGTGTATTATACATATATTTTTTATAGGAGTTTGCACGTTCTCCCCGTGGTCGTGTGGATTTTCCTCGGGGTCCTCCGGTTTTTCCCTCCACATTTAGTAGAATCTATAAATTCCCACATGATGAGCTATCATTTGTGCCCAAGTCGCTTCTGAACAAAAAAGCTGTGTAGTTCAGCGGGCCCTACCTGGTTAAATAAAATAAATAGTAAAAAATAATTAAATACATTGCTGGGCTGCACCTGTACAGTTAACCTGTTATTTACTTACAAATCATTTACATACAAATTTCGCTGTATAAATTTAACAAAGGAGCAAGCTTAACAAGACAAGCTGTACACATGTGTGTGCCCGTATGATTATGGTCACATTTTGCCAGGGGAATTTTCTTTTCCAATACCGGGTATTTTTAGTCACAGGTGCACTTGATTAAAATTAATTATCCCCCCTGCTGAAACCCCATATGCCCTAATCCACAGATCAGTGTAATGGCCCAGTTACCGTGACCATGCACTTGAGCAAAATCAGATTTCATGCTGTCCGCGAGAGTGGCTGACAATCACCGGGCACTCTCGCACTTCTAGAAATCAACGGCATTGAATATACTGCAACAATACCGGGTTGTGTTGTACATGTGTACATGTGTAGCCCTTTTGTCCATCCACTGCTGGATTAGGCCCCTACACGCATTGCAGGTCATGGGGGGGGGGGGGGGGGGGGGGGGGGGGTTATTTGACCAAACCGTGGTTAGTGGAGATTGGTTTATGGTGGGTAACATAGACGTGATATCATAGTACAATACAACAATGGATTTTACTGCACTGGTGGTCGCCCATCCAAGCACTTGCCAGGCTCCCAACAGCTTAGCTTCCAAAATATGACATGATCGGGCGCATTAGGGAAGATTTGGTCGTAGGTAACTTTACAAGTTTTAAAATATCGGTTTCCTGAAAAAAGTTAACTTTCAATAATGGCAGCGGGAGGTAAACGAGGTTGCGGACCTTTATTCTCACATTACGCGTGGGATATTTAGGTTTATGTCCCAACAGTGGATTATGCAGATGTGTGTGAAACTGCCAAACTTGCTGAGCTTGAAATGGTTGTACAAGACAGCAAAGTGGATTCTTGACTCCGCTCTGTATGGAACCTTGCATATTGTCTCCTTGTGTATGTGCTTGGTTTTTTCCAGTGGTTATGACACTCCACTATGAACCGTGCCACCCAAGTTCTATTCCCGTTCACGGCCAACACCAATGACGATTATCTGAACCGGTCCTGAGCCTCCCATGGGCCGACTCAGTCTCAAATGAGGACCTGTGCCGTGCCGGCCTTCATTGGTGCTCGCCAATAACACTTTCCCCAATAGTCTATGAGGTATATACGGGGGATCTTTGTCTTTGTGGTGCTGGCCACCTAACCTTATGTCCCGTGCTGGCCTTCATAGGTGCTTGCTAACAGCACTTGCTCAAAAAGCCTATTAAGGCTATGAGGCGGATCTTTGCTTTTCAAATACTCTGGTTTTCTCTACCATGCAAAACAACCTCCTGTAAAAGAGTCTTGAGACTCAGTGAGGCTCTCATGGATGATAAAGGGCTTTTTTTTCCTAACGATGCTGTTAATAGAGCACTAATAGCAGAGGGAGCGAGTGCTGCTCGCTGGTGGAGATATTGGCTTTGCTGCTGGGAAATAAGTCAGTAGAGGATGTTGGTAAAAATACCCAATGAACATAGTTAGTGAAGGTCTGTTCCTGCACTAAGTTGGGGATTCCTGTTAATTCCCAATCTAAAGCTGAGTCTCTCCTTTACCTATTAGTTGGAGAATTAGTCAATGCAGTTGGACCTAAGGCCGCATATCATAACAATGAATAATGTTCGTTATTTACCCAGGATAGCCTCACTAAGTTTCAAGTCTTCTTTACCAAAAGGGTCCTGCACTGGAATGTTTGGTCAATTTCATCGGGATAAGTTTGGTTCGTTTTGTGTGGAAGGCATCCGGGGCGCCCAGAGAAATCCCGCGTACACAAGCGGGTAACACTCGAAGCTTTCACGGATAACTTTGATAATCCATGGTGGCGAGAAGGGTGGCACGATGGCGAGACGTTAACTTACATCGCCTGGTATACAAGAGGTCATCGGTTCGATCCCGATCCTGACGCCTGCATATTTGGAGTTTGCATGTTCTCCCCGTGGTCGTGTGGATTTTTCTTGGAGTCCTCCGGTGTTTCACTCCACGTTTAGAAAGATGCGTTTGGAGTATTTGGCTGCTATAAATGTCCACATGATAAGCCACTTAGTTGAGCTATGATTTGTGGCCAGGTCACTTCTGAAAAAGGGCTACATAGCTCAGTGGGACTTACCTTATGGTATTTTTTTTTATATCGTTTTAATTCGTCGCATTGCTTCTATTTTATCTGGCAATCTCGCTGCCCTTGCCTCAAGCACCTGCTCATTCCCAGGCAGCCTCCCGTCCGAGTACACTATTCACTGGCCCTAACCCTGCTTAGCTTGGGATACTTGATGAGATCGGTCGAGTTCGTGGTGATATAATCATAGGCGACTGAAGTAAAATGACATGGTCATCTCAGGAAAGCTATTGAATAATAAGGAGAATAACGATTTATTTTATGCAATGTATACAGGGTGCCCCAATATTCTGTACAAATATGGTTGTTATATAAATTTTAACAAATCACATAGGGCGGTTCAAGGTATTGTCACCGATGTTCAAACTGACTTAATTAACATTGATGCACGCATGAATTATCTTTTTTAATTAATTTAGAACTTTAAAAAATAATGATTACAAATGTAATCGTTGAACATTAATCAACTATGTTTCATTCCAATTCATTCACGGTTTTTGGTTGAGCCTTAAGAACGGATTTGAGGTGACCCCACAGGAAGAAGAAGAAAAATGTAAAATCATAATCATGACAGATAAAATATGAACTGCAAGAATAAAAATTAATATGTTTTAATGCCAGTGCTAAAATAAACGAAATAACCCTATGTGCCCTGACTTTTGGGCCACCCTGTATAATGTCTTACATTTCTGGTCCATCTGTCATTGCACAAGCCCCCTCAGCTGGACCGGCACGGTGAGGTGATTAGTCAATCGGGCACAGTGGGAACATCAATAATTGGACGTTTTGAAATATTCAAACTTTGTGGATTAAAATGTTTTTTTTTTTTAAATCCACACAGCTTCCTTGCATTAAGCAGAATTCATTAACCTTTTCAGAAAGTGGGGCTAATTGGAGTTAACTGGGAATCAATTTTGAAGCTAGCGGGTGCTAAGATTGTACATTATACGCAACATATAAACTGAGACAGGGCTAATTGATTTGGATAAGTACATGCCGTGCTGCACACGTGTGCACGCAAGGCGTATGTGTGCAGTGTATTACAATGTCTGTGCTAAGAGAGCTTTGGTTGTTAGCCGTGGCCCAGTAATTTAGCTCAGTTGCATTGAGAGCGCAAGTGCTGTAACTACCGCGCCACCACTCACCACTTAAAACCAGCACGTGACCTCAGCATTTGAAACCGCGTGGCTCCCCAGTGTACGCAAGAATTATGTAATTTCATGACCTTTAATTAATCCACTACCCAGTCTGGCAGACCAAGGGGTCGGTCCACTCCACTGACCGTTTCGTCTCATCCCCACCATGTTGAAGCACCGCTCTGCAGGCCACAACGCTTCTCTCTACGCTTTTTCCCCTCGCACCGTTTCATGTGAGAATCTTGTGCCGCACAGGGACAGCTGCTACTGGGGGTCCTCTTGGCTAGACTGCAGCATGATATTGGGATGGTTGTGATGAAATGTGATGTAAGGCTCTTTGAGCTGCTGGGGCATTTAAGTGCCCTTTAAATGCAAACCCTTGTGTTTAAATCTTATATCCACAACCGTGCTGTTTGTTGCTGTCTGCCTCTAGGCTCGTGCACAGCAGCCATCATTTAAATATAAACAACGGCAGCCAGGGTCGTAATCCACAATGAGTGGCCGTTTTAATAGCGTCCTCCTCTGTCCTACGCAGGGTTTTACGAGCTGAGCGACGCGGGAACGGGCTCGCTCTCCACCTCCTGCAACTCGGTGTTCAGCGACCTCGTGCCCAGCCCGTGCCTGGGGTCCGCCCGGGGTCTGCCAAGCCTGGGTCCGTCCCGGGGGTCGCCCCCCCAGGGGTCCCCGTGCCTGAGCCAAACGATCACGGAGCTGCAGGTGCCGGCGTCAGAACGGCGGCCGCTGTCCACAGGTAAGCGGTGCCCCGCGGCGCGTTGCAACCGGCTCCACAGAAAACGAACCACACGACACATCTGAGCGATTGATGGCGCCCGAAATGTCAAATTCTAAGCCGTACGTGTGATTTGTACCCTCCTCCACATGCAATGGGATGCCCTTTTAGGTGACCTGAAGAGGATGGCAGAGGAAGACGTGAACGGTACCTCCACTGCCCCGGACGGGAAGGTCAGGCGCTCGGCTTCGGAGCACGGCTCCGTGCCACCGCCGCTTTCGCCCCCCTGGCTCACCGTCCTGGACTCGGCCGAGTCGGTGGCGCCCTCTGCCAACCCAGCAATGACGCCCGACACCCGGAGCCACGTCCACGGCACCTCGGAGGACACCACCGAGCGACTCGACGGATTCATCCGGGACCTGATCGAGCGCCGGGGCGACGGGCGCCGGTTCAAGTCTCCCGGCAAAGCTCGTCCGATATCGACGACCACGTCCATCAACGGCGCTGACCGCCACCTCCGGCATGGCAAAGCGCAGCAGTCCGGCGCGGCGAGTGCGCGCAGCGATGCCGCTCTGCCCATTGCGAAGCAGCAGCCGCCGACGCAGGAGGCGACGCGCGCCGCCCCGTGCGACGACGGCGCGGGCGACGATCGGCGACCGGGCGGCAGCGGCGCAGCCGAGGCAGTCGAAGGCTCGCTCAAGGAACCGAGGGCTCACGTCACAGATGCGATGAAGGTCGGCTGCCTGGCCGCTCCCTTGCCGCCGCTGCCGCCGCCGCCGCCGCCGCCTCCCGTGATGATGGCGATCCCCGAAGAGCAGCAGCCCCCTAAGGCGGAAAAGATTGTCAAGTCCGCCAAAACGAGCCGCTGCAGGGAGCCCAGCGGGAGGGCCGAGCCGCACTTGAACTCTGAACCCCGGCCGGACGAGGGGAAGGGAGGCAGGCAGGCGCCCGCCAAGCGCTGCCGTTTCAGCGAGGATGTGGAGATCATCCGTGACGCCGGCGGGCAGAGGGCGACAGCGGCGGCGGCGGCGGCGACAGTGGCGGGTGGCAAGGCGTGCCGCTCGCAGTCGGACAACAGCATCGTGGGGCGACATGGGCGCAGGACGCTGCCGGCAGGAGAAGCGTCCGGTAGGAGGAAGGACGTCGCAGCCACGGCGTCCGGAGCGACGGCTGTGGCTGCTGCAGCTTCCACGACCGCTGCGCCGCCCTTGACGGGGACTCCGCAGGTTCAGCAGCGGCAGCGGAGGCTGAGCTCGCACAGGCGCTGGCGGTCGACGGTGGAAATCTGTCAGGGGGCGGCGGAGAGGGGCCTCGGGCTGCCCTCGCCCGCCACGGCCGCCCAGCCGCAGTGGTCAGGCCATGCTGCCGTGGGGCAGGTTGCAACGGCGGTGGCGGCGGCGCAGAGACCGGCGACCACGGGAGGGCAAGCCGGTGGCTATGGCACGGCCGGTCGGGCGGGCGTCCGTCGAGCATCGCGCCGGGATGCCGTCTGGCTGCAACAGCAACAATCGGCAACTCGGCCATTTTCAGCCACAATGGGGGCGGCACGGAGGCCGATGCCGGTGATGGTGCCAGTAGCGCCGGCGGCGCTGGTGGGCGGAGGAGCACTGCACGGATCGCAGCGCCTCGTCGAAAGCGACTCGGAGTACTCAGCTGAGTGCGAGTCGCTCTTCCGCACCAGGTGAGTAAGCGCATCGCTTGGCCCTCTGGTAATCTCGGGCACCATGGGGGCGAGATGTTAACTACCTCACCCGGTATACAGGAGGTCGTGGGTTTGATCCTGACCCTGACGCCTGTTTATTTGGAATTTGCGTGTTTCTCTCTCCGTGGTGGCATGGTGTTTTCTCTGGGTACGTGTGTGTGTGTACGTGTGTGAGCAAGTGCGTCTGTGTGCGTGTGGTGGGGAGCGGTCTCCAGTTTTTCCCTCCACATTTAGAAACATACATTTGGAGTATTTGGCTGCTGTAAATTTCCATGTGATAAGCAACTTCGTTGAGCTACCATTTGTGGTCGGGTCGCTTCTGAAAAAGAGCTATTTAGCTCACTGGGCCTTGTAAAAACAAGTAGTTTTTTTGCTGTGAAGCATAATTGGCCAAAAATATAGCCTTTTGCATAGATTTACCTGTTTAGGGCAATCCGTATTATTTTATTATTTCTATTATTTTTCTATTTACGTGGCTTTACCGAAAGAACCATAGAATATGAATTTCTGCAGTCACGAAAGCTTTAAGTCAAGATTTAGGGCAATATTTTTGATGAATATTATTTGTCCTGCTCGGGCAACAGTAGAGAGTAATTATTGAACATTTCTTAAATTGCTACCTCTTTCTCGGGGGCGTGAGATTGAAGTTTAAATTGAGGGTCCATATTGAGCGGCCAAAATTGAGGGTCCATATTGAGCGGCCAAAATGGGACCCATGAGGGCTGTTTATTAGGGGGAGCGCGACATGTGGCTCGATTTCTCCATCCAAATGTTGTGGTGGGCAGCTGCTATCTGCCCTCTGCCCCCAGTGTTTTGTAACCAAGACCTCTTTTTACGAGAAAAGTAACCTGATTGTTTAATTCCATTATAGGTACAGTTGTTTATAGTCGACTGTTTCCGCAATCGTAGGACGAGCCAATTGGAATGAAACAAGTATGAACTCATGAAGGTATCAACACTTTTGTATGAAACGATGTAGTCTACATGAGGTTATACTTGGTTGTGCATTGAATAATAGGGGTTGCAAGGGCGAACTGGGAAACATAAATTTTAATTGCACAAAAATAGACAGGAAGGGGCAAGGAAATACAGTGCAAACGCGATTTGTGCGAAACTAAATGAGGGAAGTTCCGGAAAGAGCAGCACGGAAGGCTACATACGGTACGAAACAAGTTCAAAATAGATACGTAAATATAGTTACGTTGCTGAAACTGTTTTATTGCATTTTTTGATCGGTTTACACAAAATATATGGTGCGGACCGCCACGTTAGATCTGATAAGCAAGCTTTAAACTAAGTGAACATTTATAATGAGTACCAAAAGGAATGTTCATCCCTTTTTCGCGATGGAGTGTGTCGATCTGCACTTGGTCTGAGTATTGGTTGAAATGAGTTAAAGCACTCGTGCTTGGGGGCAGAGCAGTGGTGCAGTGATTAGCGCAATGCGCTATGAACCCGGCGACCCGAGTTTGATTTCTGGCCACAACTATAACATCATTGCCCAGTGTGCACCGGCCATCTGGAACTCTCTCCCACTGCACGTATGGAGCATCCAAGCACCCCAAAGATTCGCCCGTGCCCGTCCAGGCCCCGTCCAGGGTCCGTCCAGGCCCTCACCCTTCCAGGCCTTCACCCGCGCTGTAAAAATAAGCTCTTACAATAACACAATAGTTACATATACGGAATGGCATTATCGGTTTACTTGCCAATGAGAAGGAAACGTTAAGACTGCTTATTTTTATTCTTGGTTCTTTCGGTAAAGTCACGTAGAAGGGAAACAATAAAATAATAAAAATATAAAACAATAAAATTCTCACGACGTTTTGACGTCGTGAGAATTTTATTGTGCTCACGCCGCGCGATAGATACACAAAGCCTCGTTTTAAGTCAACCCATTGGTCAAAAGCGTCATTTGGCGAATTCACTGCCAATGAAGGCCGCTTGTGTTGTGGCCGAAATGTCGTGATTTTTGTTATAATTTTTTTTACCCACGTGACTTTACACAATAGAACCAATGAGTATGGATCCTTGCAGTCACGAAAGCTTTAAATCTAGAATTGAATTCACTACGACTGAACAACACACCGTTAGTTATTTAAAATTAGGGTGCTATTCTTTTCAGAAGGCTATATTTACATGAAACATCATTCTTGCCAAGACTGTCTACTTGTATTTGAAGGCCTCTCGTCACACCATCACCATAACGTACGGTCTCGTGAAGCCACGATCTATCTCGTTCCTGTTCATGAAGTGTGTGTATGTTGAACTTATTTTGCACCGTACGTAGCCAACCGTGCTAATGGGAGGTGCGGCGGAAGGACAACAACCTAAACACAAAAAGCAGTTATAAAGAAATTAGTTTTCAATTTAGATTTTTAAAATGCATAGCTCCAATGGCTTCCTAATATCGGAAGGAAGAGCGTTCCAGACGGCCGCAGAAGCTCGCGATGCGGTGACCGTCTTTGTTTGATGGCCAGCCAAAAAAAGAAATATCTGACAGCTCCTTATCTGCAGGAGTCATCCTCACTGTCAGCGCTCGAGTCTACTGTCCATTGTACGACCTCTTGATGTGTCCTGCCCATGCTCACTTATTTCCACTTTTTCAGTCATTCCACAGTAGTTCTTACGAGATCTGTTACGTTCTGAAATGATCCTGTTCAGAACATACCACATTGTTTACATTACCAATAGGTGGAGCGGTGGCGCAGTGGTTAATGCACTGCTCTATGAACCCGTTGGCCTGAATTATATTTTCGGCACATGGCTAACATCAGTGGCGAGTGATATACGTACCGATCCTGGGCTTCGAGGCTTCACCGAGCCACACTCTCGTTAGCATGGTGAAGTATGTTCGAACAGCTCACGTGACCAACACGGCATGGAAGAATCCTTCATTAAGTAGTGGATTGATAGAGGCTCTTGTGTAGACTAAAACGAGAGATAGTCCAATCCTGATCTTCTTTGAGTGAAACTTAAGAATATCACAAACCCCCTTTCATATAACGATAAAGAAAATATTATCAGAGGACACGGTCAGAGATATGGAACCTCAGAAAGTTGTTCTACCACAAGCCACTTCCCACTCGAATGAACCTTTCTCACAACTCCTAACAGATTCTGATCAGAATAAACATTTTAATTACGAGTCCGAGTTATATCGACGGGATCGCCTTTTGGCGTTCGCTGATCTAGCACTGGTGAGACAAGCCTAGAAAGAAGGCTGTCTCTGGTGTAGACCAATCAGTTTAAAATACAATGCATATATTAGAGCATTTTGGTTTGCATGTTTTGCCACAAGACTCGATGCGTTGAAGTAGGTATCTATTTGGTGTTTGAGCATCTTAACACATGTTTTATTGGCCAAAAGGGTGAAGCCTATTCTTATTTTCTGAGACCGAGTTAATTTAAATCAACTCAACTCTGCCCGTAGTCTCACCTCCACGCGCAAACGCAGCCGTGTAAGGAGAGTAGACACTCTGCCCTTGCGATAGACGGCCACAGCTCGCTTGGCACTGAACCGTGAAGAATCAATTTAAACCACGACTCCCAACTCGCATCCCGGTCATCCTCGCTACTGGTGACTTTTGGCTAACCATCAAAGAGAGACGGTGACCGCATCGGTTCGTATATCACTCGCCACTGATGTTAGCCATGTGCCGAATATAGAATTCAGGTCAACGGGTTCACAGAGCAGTGCACTAACCACTGCGCCACCGCTCCACCTATTGGTTAGGTAAACAATGTGGTATGTTCTGAAGAGGATCATTTCAGAACGTAGCAGATCTCGTAAGAACTACTGTGGAATGACTGAAAAAGGGAAATTAGTGGGCATGGGCAGGACACATCACGAGGTCGTACAATGGACAATAGACTCGAGCGCTGACAATGAGGAGGACTCCTGCAGATAAGGAGCATGAGATATTTTTTTAGCTGGCCATCAAATAAAGACGATCACCGCATCGCGAGCTTTCAGATGCGCTTCTGCGACCGTCTGGAACCCTCTTCCTTCAGATATTTGGAAGCCACTGGGAGCTACCCACTTTAAAATCTAAATTGAAAACGAATTTCTTTAGAACTACTTTTTGTGCGTTAGTTTGTTGTCCTTCAACACACGTACACGTATATACATCCCCGCTCCGTCCCCCATCTCCTGTCCCCGCAGCTTCGGAGCCACGGGCTCGAGTGACGACGACGACGATGACGACGACCGTGACGAGGAAGACACGGACTGCGACGCGGACGACGCGGAAGATGCCCGTGGTGGCGGCGTCGACACCGTGGGCCCGGCGGACGTCGCCGAAGGGGGCGGCCGCGCGGAGCCCGCCCTCGCCGGCTCCACCGCCACCTCCTCCTCCATCTCCTCCTCCTCCTTCTTCTCATCCTCTTCGTCGTCGTCGTCAGACGGACCCCGCGCCGGCGGCCTCGTGTGGCCCACGTACCGCCAGGGCTGCGGCGGGAGGCTCGGCGGGGGCCCTCCGGGGCCGTCCGGGCAGGGCCCGCAGGCGACGGCCGCGACCGCGGCCGCCACTGCATCGGCGGCCGCGGCGGCTGCGGCGGCCGCGGCGGCGGCGGCGGCGGCCGAGGGCTGCGTCCCCCAGGCTCAGATCTGCCGCATCAAAGCGTCGCACGCGCTCAAGAAGAAGATCCTGCGCTGCCGCTCGGGGTCGCTGAAGCTCATGACCACGGTGTGAGAGTGACGGCGTGTGCGGAGTTCTCGGTCGCGGTGGTCGGCCTCACCACTGAGCGCCCGACGGCCCCGTGCACGGCTCTTGCCCGTCCAAGCGCCGTCCAGGCTTGCTCCTGCTTAGCCTGCGAGATTCAATCGGAAACGGGCGCGTTCCCGGGGTGATTTGGCCACAAGTTCTAAACAGGGACCCGCGACGACCTGAGGCTTAGGTTTAGCCAGGTCCGTCAGTCCAGGTCGGCGAGCCGAAGTCTATTTCTGCACCCTTTGTGCCGCATTGTAGAGTTCGTCCCTCGCTATGATTTAGTTGCGTGCCACCTACTCTGGTCCACACAGCGTCCCGGAAAATATTCAGTGAGAAATTAAACATGGCTTCCTCCCTCCCTCCCCACCACCATTTTCCTCCCAACTGCTTTGTCCTCTCTTGAGCTAGTTCCCCGTTGCCCTTACCATGATTCTTCTCGTCTCTGCCGCCCCTCTAGAGAGGCCCTTCTAAACCCTTGTCAATCCTTCCATCGTTTGCACGGCCAGCTTCCCATACCCGAGCTCTGACCCAAACTCTTTCCTGTCTGTGGTCCAGTGGTAGATTCCCATCCTCAAACCGAGGCCCTTCGTAACGCCATCGTATTCCCCATAGATTTGCTTCAATACAATGCTGTCCATTGTAATTCCCCATACTTTTTCTGCAGAGCAGGTCTCTCCGAAATTATCGTGAATACTTAAATGATTATTTACGTGTTTATTATTTAAGTGCGTCTGATTAGCACGGTTGGCTACATACGGTGTGAAAGAAGTTCAACATACATGCATACGTTATTATGCGAACATATAACCTGTCTCCCTGTACCCTTTCCCTGTACCCTCACGCTAACCCTCGAAATCTTCTCCAGATGCAGTTCGCTGAACGCTATCTCCATCCCTTCTCACCTTCGATTATTCTCTCTTGATCACGGCCGCCCGTAATCCCACCTGAACCCTGCCACCAATCTTCAAGTTGCATCTCGCTACGGCTCTGAACTCCCGACCCTTGCCAACTCCATCCTCCTCGCCAGATCCAGTTCCCTTCTACCCACGCCCCGACCCCAAGCCTCGAGCCAGGGCCGAGTGTGGGAGGTGGCTCGAGAGGCAGGAATCTCTTTGTTTGCGAGGGAAGCGGAGCGCCAAGGCAGCGGCGTGGAGGTGCAGGGACGGAGGGAGTCTCGTGGGAATCGGGAGGTGAAGGGGGTTACATTTTGCCCTCCGTGGTGATGAAAGTAAGGAGGCCAGGCAAAGACAGAGGGGTGAGGTGGGGGGGGGCAGAGAGCGTAATTTTACATCTGAGAACATCTCTCACGAGTTAATTGCCTTGCTTTGCCATAACTCACGCACGCTCGCCGTTGCGCCTGCCGGTGAGTGATCATCTTTTGACAGTGCGGTTCGCGCTCGGTTCTGTGAACGCTCATTCAAATGTAGAACGTTCATCCACCACATCCCCCCCCTCCCCACCACCACCCCCGCCCATGCTATAAAGCTTGCAAGCACTTTACACACATATACACGCTCTGGAAGTGAAGCTAAATAAATAAATTAGTGTGACCTTTCAGGGCGATGGAATGTTGACCCCCCCCTCCCACCCCCATTTTTCTCCAGCTCTGCGCAGATGTACCCCCAAATCCCCTGGTGGATGTAGCACACGGCAAAGCAGAAAATGAAAAGGGAAATCTAAAATGACGCGGACGGAGAGAAAATACACGGGAACCGATCTCTCTCTCTTTGGCCCATGACCCTGCGTTGCTGCGACTGGCACGTGATTATATACACTCGGCTCTGGTGTGTGTGTGTGTGCGCGCCGTGTAAAAAAAACGCGTTACGCTTCATGAGTTGTGACGGTCCTCGTATTGGGCGGCTCGGCGGATGAATGAGCGGCTCGCGGATTGGAAAGGTTGCGAGTTCAAATCCCGGTTTCAGGGTCACTTGACCCATCATCGCACGGGCGGGAGGGTCCATAAAATACGGTAACACTTCGTGGGAAAGTCCACAGCGATTGCCCTCTGGATAGACTTTCCCCCCGCCAAAGGACGGAGGAATTTCCACCACTGGCCCAGGGCTGGAAACGGGATATAAGCACCGATGCGTCAATTCTCATTTTGAGCAAGAACTCACGTTCACTTCATCCGCTTTTGACCATTGACTTTGTTTTTTTTATGATTATTATTATTATTATTGAGACTGGCACCGTGGTGATGTACACCGCGCCTGGCATACGTTGCTCCGCGTAAACGCGCTTGCTGCTTTCCGTGAAGTTGTCACGGGCGGTGCTCGTGGGCGGCAAGAAAGCTCGTTGCATTGTTCGCGTGAGCGTGTGCCGACTTCACGACGGACGGGTCTTGCAGTCGAGGCCTTTTTTTTGGCACTTAAATAAATAAACGAATGCCGGGTTTTCCAGCCGCCGCCCGTGTCTGGCGAGGTCGTTGCCACGTGCGGCGGGCACACAATCGCACGTGTGGTTGGCGCAAATCGCACGTTGGCCGCGTGCTCGGCTTGACGTGCATACGTGATTATTATTATTATTTTTTTATTTTTGACTTAATTTATTTACAACAAAAATTAGGGCAGATAAAACGCTTGTAGGTGTAAACACGGCCTCGGGCGGATGAAACCTGCCCTGGGTGGGCTTGGCTTAGGAAATAATGATTGCTGATGTGCCATTATTAGGATATGTCAGCGCCTTGGAAACGATTTGGAGATTCAGGTGGCGAGTGGCCATGGAGTCCTCACGTTCAGTAGCCAAGGGTGCCCGCAGTGCTTTCTAGCTATCAAGTGTACAGGCGGTGCAACTGCACCGGCGGCGGGGGGGGGGGGGAGGCTACGTCACTGCTTGCACCAGGGCCATGCTCACCACGCTACTACCTTCCGATATTAGTAAGCCGCTGGAGCTATGCACTTTTAAATCAGCCAGATTGAAAACTCATTTTTTTCTTACTACTTTTTGTGTTCAGACCGTTGTCCTTCCGCCGCACCTCCGATTAGCACGCTTGGCTACGTGCGGCGCGAAAGAAGTCCAACATGCATAGAAACCTGGGTTCGCGTGACACGTATTATTGCCGTGGACTGCGTTCGCACGCCGCTCCAGTGCTGCGTCTGCCATCGCCAGCGAGCAGCACACGAAAGGAACGACCTCCGCAGGCCGGGACTTTGCGTCGACGTGGTGAAGGGCACACGTCAACTGCGAGCAGCTGATGTCGTCAAGGAGCATCAACCATCATCACGCGAGATCCGGTGGTCATCCTCGCAGCCGCAGCAACAGCAGCAACAGCAGCAACAGCGGCGGCGTTTGACCGGCCATCGACAAAACAGACGGTCACCGCATTGCGCGCTTTCAGACGCGTTTCCGCGGCCGTCTGGAACGCTCTTCCTTCCGATGTCAGGAAGCCACTGGGGCGATGCACTTTTAAATCATCGTCGAGATTGATAACTCATTTCTGTAGAACTGCATTTTTTGCGTTTAGTTTGCCGTCCTTCCCCCTGCACCTCCTATTAGCGTTATTGGTCACGTCCGGTGGCGAAAGAAGTTCAACGCACACACACACACATCTTTGCAACCTTCTGCGGGGAGAATAGGAAACAAAGCAAACTCGCTCCAAACAGACGGATGACGATGCTCGTCATGTATCGCTGGGGTACAGAATCGTTGAGCTCGTAAGCGGCTGCGCGCCCCGGCCTCGCTGGACAGCGCCCGCGTCGCTTGGATGCGCGAGGAGGTTTTTCATTCGGCGCATCCCTCCCGCAAGCGGCGAGCGGTGTGGAGACGGAGCAGACATCCACCGGTGGAGTGCGGCCTCTGTGACCACCCCCCACCCCATCCCCTTTCGCGTGAGCACAACGCAGCTGTCTCCGCCGTCTGCGTGACGGCTGTTGGTGCTGTTGGTGTTGCGTCTGGGTGGGAATTCCGCGATCCGCGTGCCGCTTGTTTGTTACTGGCCTTCGTTTCCATGCTCCGCTAATTACGCGCGTTTCCGTACGTTTACACTTAATTGCATGGATTTAAGTGTTTGTTTTATTCCCATTGTGTGTGCTTGTTGGTCACGGTATGCAGCAATGCTGTTGCTAATGCTGCAGTTGCACAGTTTGTTTTGTACTGGGCCAGTGTTTTGTTTGTGTCTTTTGTCTGTTGAGTTTCCGTACCTGGGCAATGTGCTTATGACCTGTGCTGGTTTGGCAATGGAGATTTTACTTAGTTGAGCAGCGTTATCCTTTTTTTATCTGCTGCCTCAACTCTGCATGGAAGCTGCCTAATCTATCGCTCCACATGAAGCTCCGGGTCTTCTCGATCACAGTGATGCCCCTCCCTTGCTCTACGCTTGCGAAACGTGGAACCCTCTAAATGAACATCAGCGCCGGTTCAAACCATTCAGGCTGGCCTGCCTATGATCCATCCTACTGTAGGTTTAACAATCCTGGATTTTACGAGGATTTCACAGATCTTTTAAAGGTCTCGACACAGTTCCATCAGTAAGCTCCCCTGGCAGGCGAGGCTGCGTTGGCAGTGTCATGTAACCAGCATGCTCAGCGAACGCTTACCCAAGCACCTTCTGTTTGATTGGATGGAGGGGGGGGATAAATGGGCTCGGCATGAGCTGGAGAAAAGATGTGGTACATACTTCTCAATGGCTGATACCAGCAGTGTAAAGATCGGCCTCTGTAGAGGAGGCTCGTGAAGGATGCTACTTGGAAGTTGGAGGCAGTCGCCCTCCAGCAACAACGGAGGGTGGATGAGCGACGCTCGCAACAACGAGCGGAGCGGGGAACACGTTGAGTCCGCATGCCTGTCAACCCATCACGGTTCACGACCCCGTATTCTTGTACAAGGGAAATAGATTTTCAGATTCATACGGTGTACAGCCGTTGCAATACTGGAAATACAAAAATTGTCTATTTGTTTGTGTTTCTCTCTAGTGATGGGACTTTGTAGGATGAACGTTGAGATTTATAAGGGCACGGGGTGACCAATAAGGTCTGAATTGGTCT